TATATATATATATTAGTTTAGGGCATTTAATTCAATTTTGCAATATCATAGAAGTCTCTTCAAAAATTGACCCATTAATATCATATGAAACAAGCTTTAATTTTGTGATTATATCATACAAGTAATGATGAATTAATAAAGAAAGTACAAAAGAATTATTCCATATGAAGGGAACATTGCATTAGGAATAGAAGGACGCTCAAGAAATGCTTTTCACAAGCATTATTTAAAAAAAAACCTTGAATCCTACGTACGTATGTATGTATGTTTGTATGAGTTCTAAGAAATATGAGAGGATCCAAGTCCCATTTGATGTCTAGAATTTATCTTGATGATCATATCAGATATAGATCCTATGCCAGTTAGTAGCTACCAATTATGTGAACGAGCTTTGCTGTATAAAATGTTTTATGGAAAGAAATAATCATGCTTGCCATTCACAAACTATGATTTCACACTTTCTTTCCATAAAATTGTGATCTCTCTGCGGTTTCTCAACCATCAAATTAGGAAAGACACAGAAAAATGAAATGAAATATTCCTTGTTTAGATTTCTAGCATCATCAAATTAGGAAATAATAGCATTTGCAGAGAGAAAACGATAGCAGATTGTAGCGATATATAGGAAATAAGCAACCAGGGAATTATCACACAACACAGAAGAAGGAAACCCTATTGCGTACAAGCAACATGGACTCCTGTGGTCTTCTAGCTCTCTCTCTCTCCCTCTTAACCTTATCTTATCAGTTTCTGGCCATAAAATCTGATGAGGCTTTGATCCAAAACCTGTGTCACAAAACACCAGAACCAGTCGTTTGCGCAGATTGCCTTCATGGTGATCCTAGTGGCAAGGCTGCAGATGCTAGGAGAGTAGCACTGATAACAGTGCGCTGTGCCGAATATGATGCCGAACAAGTATATAATTTCACGTTCAATCTCTGGCAGAACACTCCCAAATCAAATGCTGCACTGTACAACATCCTTGACACATGTTCAAGCCAGTTTCTTGTGGCACATGATAGTTTTCGCGGCGCCACAGTTGCCCTTGAAGATCAGGGGTGGCGGAATTGGCGGGGGACTGCCATTTATGAATTAACTACTCAAGTCACTCCTTACCTGAACCGCTGCCTGGACCTCTTCAAAAAGCAACCGCAGCTTCCATTGCCAAACACTATCTTGGTCGGGGCTAATGCTGTCAACCAAGGCATTGCAATTAGCTTGGGGGTTTTGAAGAATATTCCTGATAAGTTAACCCATTCATAAGTCATTACTGTTTGTCAAGGTTCCTGCTTAATGATGAGTTTACTGCTGTTAAGATTGTTATTCATAAGAATATTAAGGTCATGATAATAACGATTCAGGAGATACATTGTCTACCAGTTTTTATCGATGAAGGATAAATCCATTGTTTTAAAACCGGGCTCAGATTGAAGAAAAAACCAAAAAAAAAAACTTAGTGTAACCCGATAATATTCCATCAAAAACCTGGTTATATCTTGTTAATTTTTTTAATAAAATAATATCATTTTAATTATTTTAAAAAATTTATCTTGACAATTCAATAATTCCGTCAAAACCTAAAATCTGAAACAGCCACTAAACCAAATGTAAAAATATAAAAAATATAGATAAAGCTAAGCACTCTTTTATCAAAGAATAAAGCCATTATCCCTATTTTTATCTTCTCCTTCTTGGTTTCTTTTTTATAATAATTCATTCTTTAACATGTTTGATGAAAAGATTAAAGGTACACTAATAATTTTTAAAGTTTTTTTATTTAAAAATATCTTAAAATAATATTTTTTTTATTTTTTAAAATTTATTTTTAACATTATCATATCAAAACAATCTAAAATATAAAAAATAATTTAAAATAAAAATAAATTACAAAACTTCATGAAAATCTAGTTGCATTGCTGCTCAATCAAGCTATAACAATAATTGATGGACGGCAACAAGCAGCAAGAAGAGAGACGAACCTACATCCGGATCGTGCTGCGCTTGTGTACTATCTGGGCTTTGGCCCGTTCAAGAAAATAAAGTTGGCGCCAAGTATCCATGGCCTATCTCTCTTCAAAAATGAATTAACAATACATTAAAACAAATGCGGAAAGTGCTGTCCCCGTGTTGCTGTAAAAAAAAAAAAAAAAAAAAAAACCCTCTTGCCCTTATTTTTTTTTCAATCAGTATATTTTTTAATTTATTCTTTAATTTTAAATTTTTTATATTAAATTATTTCATTCATATAATATAAATAGTGGATTTCTTAGCTTAATCTAATTGATTAAAGTTTTTTTTATTTAACTTTATTTTCAATTTCATTATTAATATTAAGTTAGTTAAAAATCATGTTTCATTATTTATTTTATTTTCTTTCTATTAAATTATTTTGGTCTCGTGATCTGAGAATAATATTTAACAAGTTAATTAGAATTAACTTGAGTTATTTTTTGTGTTTTTTTAAATTAATTTTTTTAATTTGATTATTTAATATTAAATCAATTTGGAATTAAACTTCATAATATTTTTTAATTTATTTTCTATAGAAATATTTTAATCTCATGATTAAGATTGCAGGTATTTTTAATCCTGGTTATATTAGGTTGTTTTTCTTAAAAAAAATTAAAGATTATCTCAATTTAATGTTCTTCAATAATAAATTTATTTTTTATTGGATTGTTCTTATCTCATGATACAGGTTAAGGTTTTGACAGGTTAATTCAATTAACTTAGTTTTTTTCTTTTTTTTAATTGATTTTTTTCAATTTCATCATTTAATATTATATTTGGTTGAAAATTAGATTTTCTAATTTATTTTGGTTTGATTTTTATGAGGTTATTGAGATCTCTTTACCTAATAATAATGCTTAACAAGTTAACCTATATTGACTTGACTCATTTTTTGCCATATTTTTTTCATTAAATTTTTTTAAAAATTTCATTATTAAACATTGGGTTCGATAGGATTAATTAAGAATTGAACTTTATAATTTATTTTGATATGTTTATTATAGAGTTATCTCAATCTTATGATCAAAGTCGCGAATTTGACAAGTTAATTCGAGTTAAATTATGTTGTTTTTTTTTTATTTTTTCTATAAAGTTATCTCGGTCTCATGACCCGGATCAAGAGTTTGGAGGATTGACTTGAGCTATCTTTTTTTTTTTTTTTAGTATCATCCTTTAATATTAAATTGGTTGAAAATTTAACTTTAAAATTTATCTTGATTTAATTTCTATTGAGTTATCAAAATCTCATTACTCAAGTCATGAATGTAACATGTTAACTTAAGTTGATCCAAATCAATCCAACATGTTATTTTAATATTAAAAAAAATATCATCTTAAAAAAAAATTTAATCAAATTATGTTTTTATGAGTAATTCAAGTTGTTTTTAAGCCCGTAAAGTCAATTAAGTTATATCAAGTCAACCCTTGTAAAGTTTATATTTTTTTTCCACTAGAAAATAGCAATATCAAAATAGTTTTTTTATGTTCAAGAAAAATTTGACTCAACCAATAAAATAGCACAGGTTCATGATTTAAAACATATTTATATTTTAGAGCACGAGTATGTTTGAGAATATAATAATGATTATTTTTAAAAATATTTTTTAAAAAAATATATTAAAATAATTTTTTAAAAAAAAAATTAATAACAACATATCTAAATAATTTGATAATATTAAAAAAATAATTTAAAAAAATAATTTTTTTAAAAATACTTTTAAAATATAAAAATAAACAATCCCTTAATACTCGTCAAAACCCCTGTGCTTCTAGCAACTGTGAAGAAAAAAATATTTGTCTGGGCCGTTATTTAAACAGCAAGACATAGATGGTAGGGGGGCAGGCAACGATACGCAAAGACTGCTAAACCAGAGCACAAAACTACATTCTGTAAGGATGTGCAGTCAATAACAGATCATTACAGCAAAAGTTTCCAAACATGGAGGTCAAATCTCAAAAACCATAAAAGATATCATTAACACTCGTGTACATTCCAAGTTATGCACCTGACAACTGGCAAAAACCTCCTTCGTGGAGGTCATTTTTAAGGAAAAGAAAGCATTGCTTTGGCTTTTGTTATGTCTATGAACCAAACCAAGCTACATATACCATCCACAAAATAAACCGTAACCACATAAGAAGATTGCCCGAAATTAGAATAAGTGCAGCCACAATTTTGAGATTTCTTAAACTACTCTGTATCACAAAATATTGGCCAATAGATTCCCATCACTCTTCTGCAACATTCACAAGCTCATATTCAACAAGAGAGAGATTGTTGTCTTCCTTGACTACAAATTCTGCAGGCTCAGTGACTTCAACACGACCCCATTTGTCAACTGCTAGCCTCATAGACCCCTTAAACATGTCAATCTTTGCATTGCGGAGAATAACAGTTGTCCCTGGCTTCATCAGATCAACTGAGGAAAAAAAAAAAGCGTTGTTATAACAATAATGCTGTAAAGGGGGCATTTATAACACAAAAACAAACAAACCTTAAATCGCAGAGGATCTAAATTATTGGTCTATACTGCTTGCTCCACAATTTCCAAAACCATTTGAATTCGAGGACAATGATGAATATTTTATTGAGAGTTTAAAACACTATAATCAGGATCGGCAATATAAATCCCCTGAGCAGAGTGCATCTGGTTATTAAACATCCCACATGAACTATCTCGATAAAATGAAGTTTGTTGCACTGCCAAAATCTGGGAAAGCAAAATATGATATCCTCTCCAGTCAACAAGCTCAAACTATAAACAAAAATCATTTAAAACTCAGACTATAGTTTTAAGTATTTGGAAAACAAGGCTCATTTGTTAAAAGCCGCACCTCCCTAAATAGAGAGAGAGAGAGAGAGGATGGAACAAATTTGACGAAACCCAACAATGAAAAACAACAGCTCAAAGACACATTGATATTGCATGATACAAACTAGTCATAAACTAAAAACCAGTCCTTCACATATGTTCAACTTATTCATAGGGCAGAACCAGTGCAACATATAAACAGTAGCCAATAATGTGAAGAATAACACCTCTCAAGTAGAACATTAGGCTTACCAAGTAAAAAATAGCCCCCTCTAGTGAAAAAAAACGTGGCCCTCATCCACCTCTGTTCCACAAAATCAATAACCATACTCACAAAAAGATCACATGTGCACAATCAGACTTCCATTTTTGAAGGTCTGAATACTGTTATTATTTCTAGTTATGTAGGCAGTTGAATGAAGATAAACCCACTATCCATCAAGATTCTATAGATTAGCTAGTAATTCAGTATCTACCATTAGGGAACAGGGATTTTTTTATTAGCACAGGTCAAAATGGGAGAAATTATTATATGCATAATTGACCCCTTAACTAGAGTTTCCCATCCAGACCCAGTTGTCATCATTCAGCTTCATGGAGTCACAATGAATCATAATTGTTAAACCAGGACTTTGGTTCATATAGTGATTATCATCATACTTTAGGGGATCTTCAATCATCATAATCTAAACTGCAAACGTAAATTGTAATGACATTTTGAAGCTAAGGCCAAAAAATAATTCCACCAATCTCAGACAGAATCAATATCAACACAAGCTAAATCCACCCACCAATTGTAAGAGATCATTTCACTTTAAATTCATCAAGAATCCTAAAAGTCTTAAACAAAGGAAGAGAACCCATAAATATTTTACATCAAGACGTATAATTCATAGATAGATACATAAAATTCAATTCAAGCGAAACATGAAACGTTGAATCTCCAATAAAGATGAAAAGAACCTTGATCGTTTCTTGCGGTGAAAATGACGGTACCAGTGTCGTCCCCAATAAGACATTCAGCTATTCGAGTCTGACGGACATGCAGAGAGACCGATCGGCGGTCCTTTCGAAGGACAGTATTGAAAGTAAGGACCTTGACAGTCAATGTGTGGCCTCCAGTTCCGGGCTTAAGCTGGTCCACTTTGATGAACGCAGGCTTTCTAAGTCCCGGTTTTGCACTCGCACTCGCACTGCTACTCTCCTGTTGTTCAATCCGTGTTTGTGTCGCCATTGATTTGATTGGATATGATATGATTTCCCTAACCCTAACTGTAATACTGATCCAAATGGATTTTTATTTTAAATCATTGTTCTGTCAGACAGCCAGGAAAAAGGCAAAAAGAAGAGAGTTTTAAATAAATGGTGATTTTTGGAGTGCTGTGGAAGAAATGCAATACAAATAATCAAATACTAGGCGTTGGCATGAATAATTTTATGTTAATATTTTAAAAGAGATTTAAACTATATTTCAGCGTTTTGAAAGTGATTTAAACTTGAAAAAATATTTTAATATTTCTTTTAGTATTTTTAATAATTTTATATGTTAATATTAAAAATAAAAATAAAAAGGTTTGGCACTAAAAAATTTGTTTGTTATGTGATCTCAGGTTTGAATTTTTGATTACTTATATAATGATTATTGAAGATTTATATGGTTGTTAACTTTAGAGTTCATGGGATTAGTCATGATGCGCGCAAGCTAGCCCGAACACCCACATTAATCTAAAAAAAAAACAAAAAAGAGTGATCATGCTAAAAAAAAAAATAATTACAAAGAAAAAAATAAAACATATGACAATCTAATTGAGAGTGTTATAAAGAAAATAAAAAAAATTCAAAAAGAAAAAATAACTTAAATAAATCTAAATATGCTTGTTGGCATACAACCATGCATAAGGCTATTGTATTTTTTTTAAAAACAAAAAAAAAAACCTTAAAAAAAGGATAAAAGACAAAGCTGAAGGATTAAAAAGACCAATATTGCTCGAATCAACTTTTGAAGCCAGCACCTTAATTAAAAAGACCAATTAAATAAGAGGAAAATTAACATTTTAATGTTAAAAAAGAAAATTAAAAAAAATTGATAAAAAGTTTAAAAAATAGTAATATAAAAGAATGAGAATCAAATGCTAAAAACATTAAGGGAAAAATTAACATTAATTGATTCAAGGTAAAATTTAAAAAAAAATCAAACATTTAACAAAACAAAACCCAAAATCAAAAGAAAAAGGATTAAACATGAAACCAAGAAAAAATTTGAAGAAAAATAACACTTCAATCAAGGGTGAAATAGAAATAATTTTAAAGTTTATAAAAAAATTAAGACAAAAACTATACAATAAAAGAAAGAGAACTGAATCAAATACAAGATAAAATAAGAAGACAGCATGAATTTTCTAATTGGATAACACGTTTTCCAAGGTAAAAAAGAGAAGAAATTAAAAAAACATATTAGAACCAAACCATCCATTTGAAAGAAATTATTGTGATCTTTCTAACGCTGTCTCAAATAAATAATTCTCACCACTTAAATCCTCTGCACGTGCTGCTTGAAACATATAGGGTGGCTTAACATAGTGTCGTGTGAACATAACATGCTAATAAACTTTTTTTTTTAATATTATTTTAAAAATATCAAATTGCTCATGTCTTGACCCGGTAATTAAAAAAAGGCTGAAATGAAAAGATAAATAAACTCTTATGCCCTAGTTTAAATTTTTTTTACTAAAGAGAAAACCAAGTAAATTTACTATTTATTTTCAAAGTAAAAGATAAACCTGCCCGTATCTTGACCGGATAATTACAAAAGGAACAAAAGAAAAAGGAGACTAAGCCCTTAGACCCCAGTTAAAATATATTTGTTTCAAGGGATAACAAAGTAAATTTAATGGGTTTTTTTTTAAAGGTTAAAATCACCCCTATATCAAAGCATTTTGTTTTTTGCATTTCAAAGGCATCTCAGTCATTATAGTGTATAATTAAAAAAGAAATTCTAGACCTAATCAAAATAATAATGACTGATCGGTCCCTGTACAATTACAATAGTACACTGGGGCCATGTCAAATGAACTTTTTTAGAAGGAAAAAATAATAATTACATCATGGTTCATTGAGTCTCTGCATGCACAATTATTTCTCCACATTTTTAAGTTTTTTTTTTTCCATTTAATGTATAGGGATACAAGATTAAAAAACAATAGGAATTAAAATAATAATTTTTTTATTTTTTATTCTAAAAATATTTAAATTCATTCCATAATTATTTTCAAGAGAACAACTCTCGATTACTGTTTAGAAATAAAAATTCTTCTGGTTAGTCATCTCTACCTAATTCAAGTTTGTCTGGTACTATGACGAAGTTAACTTGCATGGCTTATGGAGTACAACAGTAGTTAGCACTATAAAGTAGTCAACTTGCATGGATTTTAAGTTTTGGTTCATGTCTACTCTCTTGATGACTGGGTGTTGGATAAAATTTTGGTTCATCGAGAGATAAAATAGATCTACTCTCTTGATTACTGGGTGTTATGTAAAATCCAATGCTTTGTGCTTGCTTGTTTCAAAGATTGTCGAGCAGGATGTTTTCTTTAATGTTTAATCCATGCCTTTTCCCTCATCGTTGCCATTGTTTTTCTTTGTTCTTTTTATACTTTGCATTCAAACTACATAATTTTAGTAATCAATCTGTAATTAGATGGGTACCTCGTTAAGTTTCTGTTTTTAAAGCTTTCAAATTGTATATGCATGATGATGCTTTATTTGCCACTAACCGGATGATTGTTCTGAGCTTAAGAAACTTGTCAGGTTTGATTTTTCACTAATCGGACTAATTTAATGAAACTGCTTTTGGTTGAATCTGTAGGTTAAATAGGTTCGGTTTTGGAAAGTTATGGGGAGTGGATTTACTGCTCTAAAACCAGTCAAACCACTCCTTCCGTTCATACCGGAAGCTCAGCTTCCTGTCAATGTGGTTCCTTTCAGGGTGAAGGCCATGTACACTGGGATATCTCTCGTTATTTTCTTGGCCTGCAGCCAGCTTACCCTCTATGGCATACACTCCACAACAGGTGCAGATCCAATGCACTGGACGCGCGCTATTCTTGCTTCAAGCCGTGGGACTGTCATGGAGCTCGGAATAGGTCCTCTTGTGACTTCTGGGATGGTGATGCAGTTTTTAGCTGGTTCGAAGTTGATTAAAGTAAACAAAGATATTAGTGAAGATCGCGCGCTTCTGGAAGCTCTAAGTTTTCATATGATCAGTTTCGTTACGACTTTATAATTTCTGCTGCATGTGTGTTTGACATATCATTCCTTTGCACTCGCAGAAAGGCTGCAGAAGAGTTCTTGAGCATATTCATAGCTATTGGTCAAGCCGCTGCAAACCTTTTGATGGGAATGTATGGTCCTCTAGGACTACTTGGAGTGGGAAATTCTATCCTCATCATTGCACAACTCTGCTTTGCCAGTATCTTAATGATGTGCTTAGATGAACTTCTCCAGATTGGATATGACCTAGGCTCTGGAATTTCCCTCTTTACGGCAACCTATATGTGGTAAGTTACTAAGTTTTTCTAGTTTGGTCTCTAGTAAATACATGCTGCCAAATGTTTCGGAAGGTAATGGCTATACTTCTGCAAACTTTCACATCATCACATGTTCATTGTTTAAAACCGTTTTCTGATGATATCCTGCAGTGAAAATGTCATATGGAAATCATTTAGTCCCACCACTATAAACACTGTATATGGACCTGAATTTGAAGGTGCTATCCCTGCCATGCTCCAAGGACTGCTAAAACAGAGAAACAAGACGCTAGCTCTCCGAAAAGCCCTTTTCCGAACAAATCTTCCTAATGTTACAAATGTGCTCTCCACAGCCTTTATTTCTCTACTTGCCATCTACTTACAAGGATTCAGTGTTCCTTTGACTGTGACGAGTAATAACCTTAACAGCCGCTTTAGGCAGCGAGGGACATATCCGATCAAGCTGTTCTATACCTCCAATATGCCCATCATTCTACTCTCGGCATTCATATCAAACATCTATTTTCTCTCTCAGGTACAGATGTGGTTGAGTTTCTAAAAGCCGGGATTTGGGTGATAGACCCGAGAGAATAAGTTTATTTTACCCCACAACATCATATGCATCAAACAAAGAAACAAAAAAGAGTGATCATGCTAAAGAAAAAAATAATAATTACAAAGAAAAAAATAAAACATATGACAATCTAATTGAGAGTGTTATAAAGAAAATAAAAAAAATTCAAAAAGAAAAAATAACTCAAATAAATCTAAATATGCTTGTTGGCATACAACCATGCATAAGGCTATTGTATTTTTTTTTAAAAAAAAAAAACCTTAAAAAAAGGATAAAAGACAAAGCTGAAGGATTAAAAAGACCAATATTGCTCGAATCAACTTTTGAAGCCAGCACCTTAATTAAAAAGACCAATAAAATAAGAGGAAAATTAACATTTTAATGTTAAAAAAGAAAATTAAAAAAAATTGATAAAAAGTTTAAAAAATAGTAATATAAAAGAATGAGAATCAAATGCTAAAAACATTAAGGGAAAAATTAACATTAATTGATTCAAGGTAAAATTTTAAAAAAAATCAAACATTTAACAAAACAAAACCCAAAATCAAAAGAAAAAGGATTAAACATGAAACCAAGAAAAAATTTGAAGAAAAATAACACTTCAATCAAGGGTGAAATAGAAATAATTTTAAAGTTTATAAAAAAATTAAGACAAAAACTATACAATAAAAGAAAGAGAACTGAATCAAATACAAGATAAAATAAGAAGACAGCATGAATTTTCTAATTGGATAACACGTTTTCCAAGGTAAAAAAGAGAAGAAATTAAAAAAACATATTAGAACCAAACCATCCATTTGAAAGAAATTATTGTGATCTTTCTAACGCTGTCTCAAATAAATAATTCTCACCACTTAAATCCTCTGCACGTGCTGCTTGAAACATATAGGGTGGCTTAACATAGTGTCGTGCGAACATAACATGCCAATAAACTTTTTTTTTTTAATATTATTTTAAAAATATCAAATTGCTCATGTCTTGACCCGGTAATTAAAAAAAGGCTGAAATGAAAAGATAAATAAACTCTTATGCCCTAGTTTAAATTTTTTTTACTAAAGAGAAAACCAAGTAAATTTACTATTTATTTTCAAAGTAAAAGATAAACCTGCCCGTATCTTGACCGGATAATTACAAAAGGAACAAAAGAAAAAGGAGACTAAGCCCTTAGACCCCAGTTAAAATATATTTGTTTCAAGGGATAACAAAGTAAATTTAATGGGTTTTTTTTTAAAGGTTAAAATCACCCCGATATCAAAGCATTTTGTTTTTTGCATTTCAAAAAGGCATCTCAGTCATTATAGTGTATAATTAAAAAAGAAATTCTAGACCTAATCAAAATAATAATGACTGATCGGTCCCTGTACAATTACAATAGTACACTGGGGCCATGTCAAATGAACTTTTTTAGAAGGAAAAAATAATAATTACATCATGGTTCATTGAGTCTCTGCATGCACAATTATTTCTCCACATTTTTAAGTTTTTTTTTTTTTCCATTTAATGTATAGGGATACAAGATTAAAAAACAATAGGAATTAAAATAATAATTTTTTTATTTTTTATTCTAAAAATATTTAAATTCATTCCATAATTATTTTCAAGAGAACAACTCTCGATTACTGTTTAGAAATAAAAATTCTTCTGGTTAGTCATCTCTACCTAATTCAAGTTTGTCTGGTACTATGACGAAGTTAACTTGCATGGCTTATGGAGTACAACAGTAGTTAGCACTATAAAGTAGTCAACTTGCATGGATTTTAAGTTTTGGTTCATGTCTACTCTCTTGATGACTGGGTGTTGGATAAAATTTTGGTTCATCGAGAGATAAAATAGATCTACTCTCTTGATTACTGGGTGTTATGTAAAATCCAATGCTTTGTGCTTGCTTGTTTCAAAGATTGTCGAGCAGGATGTTTTCTTTAATGTTTAATCCATGCCTTTTCCCTCATCGTTGCCATTGTTTTTCTTTGTTCTTTTTATACTTTGCATTCAAACTACATAATTTTAGTAATCAATCTGTAATTAGATGGGTACCTCGTTAAGTTTCTGTTTTTAAAGCTTTCAAATTGTATATGCATGATGATGCTTTATTTGCCACTAACCGGATGATTGTTCTGAGCTTAAGAAACTTGTCAGGTTTGATTTTTCACTAATCGGACTAATTTAATGAAACTGCTTTTGGTTGAATCTGTAGGTTAAATAGGTTCGGTTTTGGAAAGTTATGGGGAGTGGATTACTGCTCTAAAACCAGTCAAACCACTCCTTCCGTTCATACCGGAAGCTCAGCTTCCTGTCAATGTGGTTCCTTTCAGGGTGAAGGCCATGTACACTGGGATATCTCTCGTTATTTTCTTGGCCTGCAGCCAGCTTACCCTCTATGGCATACACTCCACAACAGGTGCAGATCCAATGCACTGGACGCGCGCTATTCTTGCTTCAAGCCGTGGGACTGTCATGGAGCTCGGAATAGGTCCTCTTGTGACTTCTGGGATGGTGATGCAGTTTTTAGCTGGTTCGAAGTTGATTAAAGTAAACAAAGATATTAGTGAAGATCGCGCGCTTCTGGAAGCTCTAAGTTTTCATATGATCAGTTTCGTTACGACTTTATAATTTCTGCTGCATGTGTGTTTGACATATCATTCCTTTGCACTCGCAGAAAGGCTGCAGAAGAGTTCTTGAGCATATTCATAGCTATTGGTCAAGCCGCTGCAAACCTTTTGATGGGAATGTATGGTCCTCTAGGACTGCTTGGAGTGGGAAATTCTATCCTCATCATTGCACAACTCTGCTTTGCCAGTATCTTAATGATTTGCTTAGATGAACTTCTCCAGATTGGATATGGCCTAGGCTCTGGAATTTCCCTCTTTACGGCAACCCATATGTGGTAAGTTAATAAGTTTTCTAGTTTGGTCTCTAGTAAATACATGCTGCCTAATGTTTCGTAAGGTAATGGCTATACTTCTGCAAACTTTCACATCATCACATGTTCATTGTTTAAAACCGTTTTCTGATGATATCCTGCAGTGAAAATGTCATATGGAAATCATTTAGTCCCACCACTATAAACACTGTTTATGGACCTGAATTTGAAGGTGTTATCCCTGCCATGCTCCATGGACTGCTAAAACAGAGAAACAAGACGCTAGCTCTCCGAAAAGCCCTTTTCCGAACAAATCTTCCTAATGTTACAAATCTGCTCTCCACAGCCTTTATTTCTCTATTTTCCATCTACTTACAAGGACTCAGTGTTCCTTCGACTGTGACGAGTAATAACCTTAACAGCCGCTTTAGGCAGCGAGGCACGTATCCGATCAAGCTGTTCTATACCTCCAATATGCCCATCATTCTACTCTCGGCAT